CATAGCAGTAGTGCTGCCATACCAGACAGTGATGCAGCTGGTCAAGATGCTCTCGACGATGCAGCTGTAGAAGTTGCAAAGGGGCGACATGCCAAACCTCATGAAGTACAGCCGCTGTTGGGCCTTCTTGACCAGCTGTGTGGTGTTAAGTGTCCAAGTGAGGTCCTCACTGATGTGGACACCCAGGTATTTGAAGCTGCTCACCCTCTCCACTTCGAGCTCCCAAATGAACAGTGGCCGATAAGATCTCATCTCCTTCATCTTGTGAAGGTGACGTTGTTGTCCTCACACCATGACACCAGACTGGCCACCTCCCTCCTGTAGACTGCTTTGTCCCCACCAGTGATGCGACCTACCACTGCGGTATCATCGCAAACTTCAGGATGATGACATCCTTGTGGGAGGCGACACAGTCATGGGTGAACAGGGTGTAAGGGATGGGACTGAGAATGCATCCTTGTGGAGTGCCAATGTTTGTAATAATGGTGCCTGAGGTCCTCTTGCCAATCCTGACAGTCTGGGGCCTGCAAGTCAGAAAGTCCAGGAGCCAGTCACAGAGGGTGGGGTGCAGACCTAGTGTGGACAGAGTGTTGGTAAGTCTGTGGGGGATAACTGTGTTGAAGGCGGAGCTGTAGTCAATGAAGAGTATCCTGATGTAGGAGTCTCTATTGTCTAGGTGGGAGAGGGAATAATGAAGGGCAGCAGTGATAGCATCTGAGGTGGCCCTGTTGGACCGGTAGGCATACTGCAGGGGATCCAGGGTGTCCGGTATACTACTCGGAATGCGGTCCAGCACCACTCTCTCAAAGCACTTCATAATGTTTGGGGTGAGTGCCGCTGGCCTGTAGTCGTTCAGGCAGGTGACTGGGCTCTTCATGGGAAGGGGGACTATGGTTGTGGTCTTAAAGCAGGAGGGAACAATGCTCTGGCTGAGGGAGATTTTGAAGATGTAGGTGAGAGCATCGGCCAATTCATTGGCACATGCTCTGTGAGCCTTCCCAGGGATGTTGTCTGGTCCTACTGCCTTGTGGGGGTCAATCCTCCTCAGGACATTGCGTACCTGGCCTGGCGAGACACTGACCACATGGAGGCACAAGCGGGAAGAGGTTATCCTGCATCACACTGGTGTGTAATGTCATTTATTTTGCAGCAGGCCAACCATGGCATCAGCACTGTGAGGATGGTTAACACCTGCTTCACAAGGCATTATTTTTAGAATTGTTTTTCATTAGCTGTAGTGCCTTTTTGCCTTGGTGCTACTGTGTCAAGATTGTGAATTATGCCATTTTTAACAAGCTACATTATGTTAAATGCATTACATTCTTCCTCCATGGAGTCACATATCTATACATTGAAGAGCTGTCTACACAAGATAAAGACAAACCTTAATGAATTACAATAACAGACAAATTCAAACCTCTCCATGCCCATCTGCCTGCATTTCACATCTCTCTCAGGAGGCCAGCTCCCTTGGTGTAACTCTTCCCTCTCCAAGAGAGGAAAAAGAAGGTTCTAAAAATAACCCACAGGCCCTACAGGTTGGGTGTGTTAGATGCTGAGAGGCTGCAGTCTGGGGCAGGGCTCCGCGCTGGGAGGCTATGTGAGCTCTATGGGCTTTTTCCTCCTCCATTGATCAGGAGTGGGGAAGGCGGACCCTCCGACGCCGCCGTCAAGCTGCTCGGCTGCGTCAGAGTCCAGCTGAGCGAAAGAACAGGGGAACCAGGAATAAAAAGGAAAGATGTTCTGATATGCCGGGAAAGCAGTGCTGAGAGTGTCAGTGAGATAGACCTGCGTTGTGCACATCGCGGACGGACGGACATGGAGGGCGCCACGGAGGAAGAATACAAAGAGAAATTATTATGGAACGTCAAACGGGAGGTAGGCGCAGCTGGCTGACGGCCTTTCGAACCTCGCGTTTGGATATTTACTGTGATATTTTTTTGTCAAATCATGACAATTTGATTGGGAATGCTGCATTCATATTTCACTTTATCTCGCGGGCAGTGTTTATATGTTACTGTTGGACAGAATGGTTTCAGTTGAGAATCCAAGTTTACCAAACTGGC